CTCTTTTACCCACATCCCACCCTCACCTGATCTAGGTTCTTTCATTTACCTCTTGATCTTATTTCCTTATCATCTTATCTCCTTTCTAGATCTTCCGTATATTTTTGTCTCCCACTCTCTTTTTATTGTTTTGATGATATTAATGACTGTCCTGGATAGAACATGGCAGATCTGATGAACAAGTTGGTCTCTTTGTGTCCATCTTTTTCTAGATTCATAATTAAGAGTACAAAACCTCTTTAGTGAGGTGTAAAAATCCTTTTGGGAATATCCCCTGCCCTTCCGGCCAAGCCCCCTTACTCCCATCCCCCATGACCTTGCCAGGGTCTGGATTAATCTCTCATCTGAGGTGTAGTACTGACAGCACCACAATGTCCCCAGTGGCACTGCTGAGTGCAGAATAGCTGTCAGCCTTTGAGCAGCAGACAGCTCTTGGTAAGTAGGACTTAAGAACGTTAGAACTAGGAAAACGAGTAGGTAACTCATCCCCTTGAGCCTGCTCCATCATTTAATATGACCATCATCTCGGCCTTAACTCTATTTCTTTTCCTGTTCTTCATAAGCTTTCAACCCCTCGGGTGCTTGATTTTGGGAAACAACCCAACTCTGGCCCGTTACATGTCTGAACAGCACAGGATACAGCTGGCCTTCTCCAATTTCAGCAAAAGCATTGACCAGCTCTCCAGTCAGTGGCTGAAACCCCTTTCACAAGATTCCATTCAAATCTCTTGAAGCAGAATTAGTAGTCAACAAAAGTATTTTGGATACAAGGTTAAAGATTTTCAAGAAAAATGATGAAATGTTTGCTGATTATTAGTGAAGGAAGATACAGCAATTCTTTAAAGTGCTAGATGTAAGGAGGCTACGAAGGTTAATATCTTATCAAGATCTGTTGATGATGGGAGTGCTTGTCCCAGTTTTCCAAGAACTTAAGATATTGAACTTGGATTTACATTCAAGCTAAAAAATGATATAGCTGGCAGGAACTATGTGAATTAAATCAAAGTATCTCACAAGGCTAGATTTACAGAGTGGCAATATACTGAACAGCATTGTCATAATATGAGTTATTTTCACAAACTTCCCAGTTATTAAGTCACAATGCTCAACACCACTTCAGTCTGTTGCTCATTTTTATAACATGTTTTATGTTATCTTTGATATGGTCTTGGAAATTTAATTCCTTATATCTGTTATAACAATTCACACTTTGAAGCTATCAGGACTTCTTTCTCCAAACTAAATTTTCTAAGTCAGTGTTTCCTACAGGTTGTTTTTGATTTGAAATGATTCAAATTATAATTTCAGTAATTATCTGCTTATTTTGTAATTGTGATGATCACAAGGAAAGTCTCTTGCACAGTACCTACACGGCTGAATATTATTGAATGTATCAACTGTGAATAAGGGTCCAAGTTGGTAATATGCAGGAGAAAATGGCATTTATGAAAATTGAATTGTAAAGGGATGAAGATAGCTAGAAAAATCACATCAACAATAATTGGTTTCCCACTCAGTTCTGTCTTGATGAAGTATTTTGTGCCATGTATTTACCTTGCATCTTTTGACTGCTGCTAACAGAATAAGTCCAAGTGATAAGCTACACAGTAAAATAACCTATAATTATGAGACTCACACAGCTTTAAAGATTTCCTGAAGTCACTGGTGTTTGAAGAGATTTGGATCAATACTTTTAGCACGTTATTACTGGATCTTTATCTTGAAGGGGATATAATGCAATTAGGGAATGTTGAACTGAAATTTAGCCTTATTAGGAGTTGCTAACAAGATTCAACTTGAAGTGTTCTGCTGTTGTTTGCCTTGAAAATGAATATACAGTATCTTTCAACTTGGAAAGTTAAGTGTACGACATATGCATTTTTCAATTTTGGAGGGTGATGAATAATTTGTCCTTTTTTGTATCTGTTGGTTAGTCTATTTATTGATGTAATATTGCACCTTTGCTTTTCCCTTCCACTTGTCAAACGAGGTAGCAAACCACAGCTGCATCAGCTGAATCATGTAAGGGAAGGAGAGAGTTCTCCAAAGGCCCCAAGAAACATTCCCATGAGAACATATGAAATAGGAGCAGAAGTGGGCCATTTGGCCCCTCGAGCCTGCTGTCCAGTGTCTTGGGACCTTTCCAGATCTCAGCAATTTTTAAAGGTTACAACTAATTCATTGATTTTCTGTGAAACACTCAGGTTGAGGGAACTTGTCAGCCTATTATTGTCCCTTCAGTTTTCTTATTAAATTTACTCAAGTAACTATTTAAGTTCTTATTCCTTATTATTTAATGGGATGTGGGCACCGCTAATAGCCTCCGCTGGAAGACACCAGTGAAGACAAAACACTATTGTGTATCTTAGACATTGACTTATTGTGTGCAGACTAAATTTTGGCCCCAAGTACTCTTAACCACATCATGCAACATTATGAATCATGTCGGTAATAGCTGTGATGCAAAAGCAATGTATTGCAGCCTGGAAAGATTCAGCCTATTTGCAAAGTAGCAATCACCTTCCAAGGTCCCATAGCATGCATATGGTGTAGGAGCTGCTCCTTTCACATCTTCGACCATAAAACATCGTACAGCTCTAAGGATGGCTAGACTCTACACCTTTAACCTTGTAGTTGAAGCTAGAGTGACATTTGCTCACATAGCTGATGATGAACAATGAACATATATTTACAAATTTAAGAATGAATTTTCAATGAAGTTTCTTCTGTGCCACCAATGTGCCTATTCTTCTTCCTTTCCCTATCACAGTGTCTCAGTGCAGTCCCAAGCTCTGTAAGTGGGGTGGAGGATGTTGTCCTACAAGTAAATCCTGTTGACTTTGAAATTTTGGTCAGGCTGCACCAGGGGCATTTGTGGCTAAAGAGCCCAGATCTACTGAACGTGCCCTGCCCAGAGGCAGGCTTACACTCCTTATCTTGAATTTCCACAGGACTGAGGATGGCAGGCAGAGCAAAGGTGGATGGCTTGGCCACCTCTGGAATGATCTAGAGGAGGCTTCTGAAGGACATATGTGGCTTCTCCTCTGTTGGTAACTGCTAACACTGTCTGTCTTCTTGTGAGCAAGGGGCACCTGGATTAAGTTCAAAGTCATTTTTTCCCATGTCAACTTGTCATTGGTGCTGAGCACCAATGGCTACTACAAGGAATGCAAGTCTGCACGTATATCCAGAAGACTCTAAGGCTTCTGGACTTGGCTCCTAGCAACCTGTCCATGGACACAGCCGGATACTTGCATGCCAAAGGCAGCATAGTGCAAACAGCATTGGTTGAGTCCTCCAAATTTTCTGTTAATTCTTCAAGTCTCTGAAAAGAGTACCTATTGGTCTTGTATATGCCTATGTGTTTAATTGAAGTTGTTCATTGCTGACACCATGGTGTCCTCTCTTCCCTCAGGGTGAGAAGGTTCCTGGTCTCCAGCAGTTTTCCAAGTGCCACTGACTTGGACGTTTCATCCTTGGCCAGCTACAGAGACATGACAGTGATGTGCTCACCAGAATGTGCTCCCAACTCTAGTCGAGATAAAGTACCCACTGAGGTGTCAGGATCTGATTTGGTGGAGGGTTCAGGAGGCAGCCTTATCAGTGTATCCCCTGAGGAATCTGTAGCTTCTTCTTCAGAGGCACAGGAGGAGGTATCTTGTGGGGTCGCCTTCTTGATCGCAGAGACTGTGTGGATGTTACTGGTATCTCCAAAAGACAAAAGAGAGAAAGTCATGAAAGTGGGATAGCTGCTCAGCCGTGTTGAGTGTGTTCACAAGAGTGATAATGGGAGAGCAGCACAGCAATGCCCAATGCTTCTTCTGTAGTTGTCGGAACCTCGAGGTTTTGTCGTCACCACATGGGCAGTCGCAGTCCACACTGGCCAGGGCCAGAACCCTTTCCTCATAGGGTGTGAGGAATCGAATGTCAGACACCCCACCATCTGCCTTGGCTCTCTCCAGCTTATTACGAGTTGTTTTCTTCTGTAATGAGACAAAGGAAGGGATTCAGTGAGAGGAACATGGCTGGCACAACTGATAGTACTGGTGCAGGAGGGAGAAGGGTGGTGGTGTGTCCCACGGAAGTGTGTGGGCAGCATAGTGGCCATGCAGGGTGAGTAGTGTAGGGGAATTGGGTGGATGAGAGTGAAGAGGGTTGATGTCGCATGCAATAGTGGTAGACTATGAGCCTTAGTGAGAGGTGTTTGCAGTAGCAGAGATTAAGTGAGTGTAAGGTAGCAGAGAGAAGACAGCTATTTACAACTGAAGTATAAAATAATCTCCAGAAACATCCTGTGCCTTAAATGCCATTGTGTGGGGAGCCTGTGAGCATGTGATAACATTCAGGTACTTGATTTATTTGCATGTTGGGTTCTTAAAGGAACTTTGCTTCAGAAGTAATAACACATCATTTATAAATAAAAGCAGACTGAAACTGTGGTTGTTGGTTTTGGTGATCCACATTTGTACTGTTTACGTCTGGGCACAAAAGCTTATAATTGTGCCATGATTTGGTTATAGTTCTATCCTTTATTACTTAGTTATCTTGAGAGACATGTAGGATGCCTAGATTTAGGCTTAACAGAAGGACTTAGCTGTGCAGACAAATGTAGATTGTGTGAGCTCCTGCACCAAGCCTGTAATAAAAGATTGTAATTTTGCTTGGCTGTTCATCCTATGAATCCTTGTGTCACATAATTGTCAGAGGTTAGTCCTTGTCCTTTCTTGTTTTGAAGATGTGTGTTCAAGACAGTCTGATGCAACCTGAAGCAGAGACGCATTTCAGTTTCATCAATTCTCACTGCTTCGCATGGATAACTAAATTTAATCAAATTTTATGCCATATTTTCCCTTCATTGAAATATAAGTTAGTTAGGTTTTAGTAAAATATATGCTGCCACTTTCAAAAGTTGATTATGTTAACTGTACAATTATGTACTTTGGAGATGTGTTGTCATTTGTCATTCAGTGTATTTGGTTAATTATCTTATCTCTTATCAGGCAGGACAAGTCAATCCAATCATCAAGCTGTTTGTTGTGAACCTTTATGGACCAACTCATACCCTTGAATTGATGCCACCAGAAAATTTCAAGTCCAAGTAAGATTGGGTTCACAGTCACCCTGTTTTTACAAATGTAAAAATAGTTATTACTGGTCGTCTTGTTAAAGACATAGTAGGGCTCATTCCGTTGTAAATTTGATGCGCATATTATTTGATAGTTTGGTGATTTAAGCTGGAATCTGTGACCATCTAATCAGTTAATCTTCATTGTTTTTACTTTCATTCTCCCCTCAGATTTTACTCTGTCCTACCAAATTCAGACACAAAGATAATGAGTCCAACTATCAATGTTACTTGTGATTGACTGTTATACAGTTCACAGAATGAACCAAATTTAAACCAAATGGATTTAATTCTCTTCCCAACTTTGCAAGCAAGTGCCTAGCACAAATAAAGCTCATACTGAAAGTTAAGCTTGGACAGTAGAAACTAAATGAAGAATTTTAAAGTACAACTCGGATCCTCTATAATGCAATGGTTCAATGTATCAACCTGCTGCTGCAAGAACAGGTTATGACTTCTGTCTATGCCGAGAGATACTTCTGAGGACAGAGCACCATTTCCATAATTATCACTATTCCACTTGATGGGATAATTAACGTAGTACTATCCTTCAGCAAGCTCTATAAGTTCCAAATAACGTACTGCAACTTGTGTAAGTTTTACCTTTACAACTTGTCAAATGATAGACACACTAGAGCAGATGATCATTCCCATCACTGCATTCAAGTTGATGTAATGGTCTTGTCAGTCAATCATGAAACTACAAAGGAAGTTTAGCTGCCAAGATTAACCTGCTCCTCAGCTTTAGGAAACAAGACAGAAGTGTGTGCTAGCTGTGAGAGACTAAAATGAAAATCAAGATCTTCTTTTAACGGCTGAACTAACTCTTGCCTCACTGTCTTGGCTCACAATTATATTGGCACTAAATCTAGCTCCTTGATATCAAACCCATAGGTCAGCTTAGCCAAAGAGGCAAAAGTTAACAGCTCTGTACTCTGCAATCTACAACGTTTCCCATTCATTTGAATAAAGTCATAGCCTGCAATCTTTTTTTCTCTAAATCTCATTTCTTACTTATTTCTTGTGTCAGCAGGAATGTTACTAATAAACGATCTGGTTTGTTGCCTAGATCCAAACTATCAAGCTGTGAACAGTGCCTGTGCCAAAATGACAACTGATGTTCTGCTATTAATGATTTGTTATGTCAAAATGGAGATGTCTAATGAAATAAAAAAGCGACATAGTACCGTAGGAGCACCATACTTTTGAGAAGCGCTATCTTTCAGTTACGACGTTAAGCTCAGGCCCCACCTACCTGTTCAGGTGGATGTAAAAGATCCCTGTGGCACTATTCTGACGAATAGTAGGGGAGTTATCCTCATTGTGCTAGCCAATATCTATTCCTCAAACCACGTCACTAAAACAGATTATCTGTCCGTTATCACATTATTAAACATCTTCATAATAAAGCAAATTGTGGGAATGCTCATCTGCGATGTCAGCACATCCAAAGTGGAGGCAATCATAGAATCCCTACAATGTGGAAACAGGCCCTTCAGTCCAACAAGTCCATACCGACCCTCAGAGCATCCCACTTAGTTGCACCCCCCTAATCTACAGATCCCTGAACACTATGGGCAATTTAACTTGGCCAATCCACCTAACCTGCACAGTCTTCGGACTGTGGGAGGAAACCAGAGCACCTGGAGGAAACCCACGCAGACATGGGGAGAATGTGCAAATACCCGAGGGTGGAATCAAACCCAGGTTCTTGGCACTGTGAGGCAGCTGTGCTAGTCACTGAGCCACCGTGCCACCCAAAGATAGCTGGGCTCGTCCGCAAGTTGAACCGGGAACACCTCTCGTGTGCCAACAACATATAGACATCCTAAGCGAGAATCATACCGCTAGACCAACAAGCCATCAATATTAAGGAAATGTACTGAAAAACCACACTTGATAGTGTTTTTTCTAATGGAGGACTATTTCATATTTTGTCGGATTTGCATTTTCTTTTAATTTTAGAATTAAGCTTGATAAATACATTTAATACCGCCACATTTAAAAATATTTACGTGCAGCTTTAAAAAAAGCTACATTTTACCAACTTAGAGCTTGAATTTCTTTACAAGGGAATATTACATCACAATGGTAAAGTGGGTCAGCAATACAAAGACAGTTGTAAACTGGCTGAACAGACCTCAAAATATCTCCATTCTTACTACATGTGAAATTACAACTGGGGCTTGTTCTAAGGTAAGACATTCTATTCATATCAAGCATTTTCCTGAACAGTGATGCTATTGAATGTTATTAAATGCAGCAATCATTTGCGCAAAGATTTCTAATCAACTAGAAATAAGAACTAATGGAAGTTGATCAAATCTGTTAATAAATGATTTTTAATCCTACAGGTAAATTGAGTTCAGCCTTATCTTTAGTGGGTTTTCTCTTATGTCTGATTAAATAGTACGGACTTAGGTGACTGCTGAGGCCAGCAGAATGCTAAACGATGTGATTATTTGAACATGGAGGAAGATCCCTTTACTTCACTAAACTGATGTTTGAGTTAACTTTGTATGTTAACTGAAGAGTGAATGTTCTTCATTCAACTTGAACTTAATAGGACTCATTTTACTGATCTTCGTTACCGGAAACAACCATTTCTGTGACACAGAAGGTTTAGTTGCTTCTTTTGCCTCTTGTGCTTTGTGCTAGATTTCCAAAACAATTCAATCGCAGGAGAAGAGCTGGATCTGTTTTTAAGCTTAGAACATTGCTCTCAATATTCAGGTACAAAGAGTTTTTCCTGTATTCCATCTCAGTTTCCTGGGTGATTATTCACTGAGTATCTTAGCACAGTGGTGCCTGGGTAAACGTTTCTGAAGAAGGGTCCCGACCCAAAACATCAACTTTCCTGCTCCCCTGATGCTGCCTGGCCTGCTGTGTTCCTCCAGCTCCACACTGTGTTATCTCTGAGTTCAACATCTGCAGTTCTTACTATCTCTGGTGCTGTTACATGTCCTCAATAGGTTGGTATGGATCGTAGGGGAAGGGCAAAGATATAAGAATAAGTAAAGTAGTCAAGATTTAAACGCTCCCACACCACCATAATGTATATACATAGTCAAAGCTTTGGGCCATATTTTAACTGACTCAAAATCTATTAATTTACATTCATTTAAATTGGGCATAATTTATGTCTGCTGATCTCAAGGGGCTGGCCTCACACAGAATTAATCTGAGTCACAGAAATGACAGAGAATTCTGCAACTTTGCTGTGCTGTCCCAGTCCCGTGTGAATGCTACGATTGAGCTTGTTGGGGATTTAGGCCTGAGTTGAATGAATGAAGAATGTATGAAGAAAAATCTTTTCTAATAAGTCCAAGGTCCTAATTTAGTACTTCTACTAGCAAAAGGATGTCTAGCTTTTTATCAGGTTAAGCAAATTGTGGCTTTTACCACAAATTACTTTTTTTAAGGATTCAAAACAGAATGGATTTTTTGTGCTCATCCTGGAATCCCCCAATGCCAGTTTTTGATGACTTTAAGGTCTATTAATAAAATATAAAAATAAGGGAACATTAGGAACTCACCATTTTGCATGGTGTCAATAGGAAATCTGATTTGCTCAGGGTTAACGTGCAACTCATTTTAAAAAAAAAACTGAGCAGTCAAAATCAGGTGGGAAAAAATTGACTAGTCTAAAGTGGGAGACAAACATGTCAAGTACAAAATTAACTTGAAGTTAAAACAAATAGGTAGGGTTTAGCAAAATGAATTAATTGGTTGAATAATCTGTGTTCCACCGAACGTAGAAATCATGTCTTCTACTCATCATTTTTATTACTTCACTGCAATTTTATTTCATTTCCTTTCTCTGCCTGAACCAACATCTGCAGCATCAAGGGTGGAGATAAGTTTTACTGCTAAAACACTAATAATATTACTTATGCTTACCTGCCAAGTAGCACCCTCAGGTTCTCATCCTTTGCTGGCAGCTGTAGCAGTCACTGTTCAGTATATCCCTACTCGATATCATTCAGATCAAGAAAACTATACATGCAATAGCTCTTCTTTTCTATTTTCTTTTTGCATGTCACGGTTTCATGGACCATCATTCACATTAAAACCGGATTCATGATCTGGACTGGCACCAAATTGTTAGTAAAACTCATGTGACAATGTTGTGATGTCAGATGCAGTGAACAAAGCCTAAGAAATTATCCACATTGTTAATATACAATATCCTTAGAGATTATGTTTGGTACTTGTATTGCTAAGTGTAAAATATTCCTCTTTCCAGTTTAAAATTGAGTTATAGACAATGCACACCTTATTATTTCAAAGTTCAGTGACTGATATAGTAAGAAATTCTTCCAGCTAAATTATTGATTGTGTTTTGCATGTATTTTCATTCTATTTCCTTTCTGTGATTATTTTAGAAACATGAAACAGTGTCTGAACTCTGGCTTTCTAAACAGGTAAGAAAATGTAATGGTTTAAATTAATCATTTTAAAACCATTGTTAAAGTTAATTAATTGACCAATTGGTAGTCAAATTATAAAGGTGCCCAGAAATGTGATTCAAAAAAGGGACACCATTAAAATAAAAACAGAGAATGCTTGAAATAGCAGATTGTACCACATATGTGGATAGAGATACAAAGATTCAGTAGTACTGGACAATTTTGGAAGGCAGCAGATTTTATGCCTGTGCAGATGCAGTGAAAGAGTGAAATGGTAAAAGTGCAAAAGAATGATGGGTCAACGTAACAAGGGATTGATGGTAAAAGGAACAATTGTGCAAGGCAAAGGATTTGGTAATGAGTGAAATAAAGGAATAAAGATGTGTGCAGGGGGCAATATATATGGCAGCAGTAGAACTGGGAACAGCATGATTGTCTAAATAAAAACAGTGATCTGAAAATGTGAACTTGGTTTTGAGCCCAGAAGACTGTGAAGTGTATATTTGAAAAATGAGTCACTTTTCCTGAAGATTCCACCGTGTTTCTTTAGAACGAAGGCTTGCTGCTCCTGAACATTGGATGAAAGAATGATTTAGAAAAGAAATTAGATGGAGGCCTGATGGAAATAATCTTGCAGGGTTATGGGGACTGAGCAGAAGAATGTGGCTGATCAGATTGATCAATGGAAAGCCAATATGGACTCGATGGGCTGACTGGTTTTTCTCCTGCACAGTGAAGAACTTTATGACTCTGTTGTAACCTGGCCTCCAAAAGCAACTGTGAGGGAGGGCACTGAACAGGGGAGCTTAAGCAGATGAGTTATCCTCTCTGAAGAAAAAGAGTTCTGTCTGTCAGATAAAGCCCTCATGGACAGAAGAAGAGACAAAAATAGGCAAAGGTGCTCATGTATAATCTCTTGACACTATGAAGGAAGACAGAAGTATGTCTGGTTAGATGGTCAGATATTCCACTAGCCAAAGAATTGTATGCTGGACAGGGTCAGGAGAAGATGAGCAATTCAAAACTGGATTTGAGGTATTGCATCCAAGGGCCTGAGCACAAGGAAGCTGGCAGTGCATGCGGTATAGATATTCAAAGGAATTCATTTTGGATCTTTAAGATAATAAGAGAGGTTTCTGAATACCAGTAATCTCACACAACTAATGAGTACAATCAAGCCAAAGGAGAGGACGTGGTCCTTGGAACTGCTGAAGTTGTTCAATCCCATCATTCTTCCGGACCCCTCTTTCAAGTTGAACAGGGACAGGAAGCTGATGGAATACCTAGCAGAAGCAGTGAGGGCTAGGAGTATCCAGACAGAGTTGAGGAAGCTTAATAGTGAAAAAAAGCAATAAAACCATAGAATTATGACTAAAGCTAACCATCCAGTAAAGATTCAGAGATAGTAGGAACTGCTGATGTTGGAGAATCTGAGATAACAATGTGTAGAGCTGGATGAACACAGCAGGCCAAGCAGCAACAGAGGAGCAGGAAAGCTGACGTTTCGAGTCTGGACCCTTCTTCAGAAATGGGGGAGGGGAAGGGGGCTCTGAAATAAATAGAGAGAGGGGGAGGCGGATGGAAGATGGATAAAGGAGCAGAAAGGTGGAGAGGAGATGGACTGGTCAAGGAGGCGGGGATGGAACGAGTAAAGGTGAGTGTAGGTGGGGAGTTAGAATGGGGGTAGGCCAGTCAAGAGAAGACAGACAGGTCAAGGAGGGGGGATGAGGCTGGGAGGTAGGAGGTGGGGGTGGGGGTTGAGGTGGGAAGAGCGGATAGGTGGGAGAAAGGACAGACAGATCAGGGAGGCGGGGATGAGCTGGGCTGGTTTTGGGATGCAGTCGGGTGCAGGGAGATTTTGAAGCTTGTGAAGTCCACATTGATACCATTGGGCTGCAGGGTTCCCAAACGAAATATGAGGTGCTGTTCCTGCAACCTTCGGGTGGCATCGTTGTGGCACTGGGGGAGGCCCAGGATGGACATGTCGTCCAAGGAGTGGGAGAGGGAGTTGAAGTGGTTCGCGACTGGGAGGTGCAGTTGTTTGTTGCAAACTGAGCGTGGGTGTTCCACAAAGCGGTCTCCAAGCCTTCGCTTGGTTTCCCCGATGTAGAGGAGGCCACAACGGGAACAGCAGATATAGTATACCACATTAGCAGATATGCAGGTGAACATCTGTTTAATGTGGAACGTTTTCTTGGGGCCTGGGATGGGTGTGAGGGGTTGGGGGTGTAGGGGCAAGGTGTAGCACTTCATGTGGTTACAGGGAAAAGTGCAGGGTGTGGTGGTGCTTGTGGGGAGTGTGGAGCAGACAAGGGAGTCACGGAGAGAGTGGTCCCTCCGGAAGGTAGATAAGGGTGGGGAGGGAAAAGTGTCCTTGGTAGGGGGGTCAGATTGCAGGTGGCAGAAGTGGCGGAGGATGATGCGTTGGATCCAGAGGCTGGTGGGGTGGTACGTGAGGACAAGGGGGATTCTGTTTTTGTTGTTATTGTGGGGAGGGGATGTGAGGGATCAGTTGCAGGAAACGCGAGAGATGCGGTCGAGGGCGTTTTCGACTGCTGTGGAGGGGATGTTGTGGTCCTTGAAAAATGAGGACATCTGGGATGTCTGGGAGTGGAATGCCTCATCTCGGGAGCAGATGCAGCGGAGGCAAAGGATTTGGGAATGGGGGATGGCATTTTTGCAGGAAGGTGGGTGAGAGGAGGTGTATTCTAGGTAGCTGTGGGAGTCGGTAGTCTTGAAATGGATATCGGTTTCCAGGTGGTTGCCAGAGATGGAAACAGAGAGGTCCAGGAAGGAGAGAGAGGTATTGGAGATGGTCCAGGTGAACTTAAGGTTGGGGTGGAAGGTGTTAGTAAAGTGGATGAACTGTTCGAGCACCTCGTGGGAGCACGAGGTGGCGCCGATACAGTCATCGATATAACGGAGGAAGAGGTGGAGGATAGGGCCAGTGTAGCTTCGGAATAGGGGTTGTTCCACGTATCCTACAAAGAGGCAGGCATAGCTTGGGCCCATGCAGGTACCCATGGCCACCCCCTTTGTCTGTAGGAAGTGGGAGGAATTGAAGGAGAGGTTGTTAAGGACGAGTTAAGCTCAGCAGACAAGGGCGTCAGTGGAAGGGGACTGGTCGGGCCTGCGAGACAGGAAGAAGCGGAGGGCCTTTAGGCCATCTGCATGGGGAATGCAAATATACGAGGACTGGACGTCCATGGTGAAGATGAGGTGTTGGGGACCAGGGAATCGGAAGTTTTGGAGGAGCTGGAGGGCGTGGGTGGTGTCACGGACGTAGGTGGGGAGTTCCTGGACCGGGAGGAGAAAGTGGAGCCAAGATAAGTGGAGGTAAGTTCGGTGGGGCAGGAGCAGGCGGAGACAATGGGTTGACCAGGGCAGTCGGGTTTGTGGGTTTTGGGAAGGAGATAGAAACGGGCGGTGCGGAGTTGGGGAACGATGAGGTTGGAGGGTGTGGGTGGGAGGTCACCTGAAGTGATGAGGTTGTGGATGGTCTGGGAGATGATGTTTTGGTGGTTGGGGGTGGGGTCATGATCAAGGGGGCGGTAGGAGGAGGTGTCAGAGAGCTAGCGCCTGGCCTCAGCGATGTAGACGTCAGTGCGCCATACTACAACTGTGCCATCCAGTAAAGATTTCTTACCGTTGGAACACACGTCATCACTGGGTGGAAACCCAGGACTATCAGCAGAATGTTTTGGAGCAAGATGTCTTTTGTGAGTCATCAAGTCCGTACACCTCCCTGATAGTCCCTGTAAGAAGGAAAGATGGAAAACTGAAGATCAGAGTCAATTAACAGGCAATCAATGCAAAGACTCTTAAGAATGCTTGACAATTTGGGTTATCCAATGGAACCATAACTAAGAGAACCTAGTTTGGTAATAACACCCTTAAGCTGAAACATGTCTGATCACCTGTCCTTCATGACGCAGATTTCCATCTTCCTTTCATACTGAAAACTGATGCTGTTTCCTTGGTTTATGAGTGGTGCCATCACAGGTTCAAGGGCAGAAAAGGGTGATTATCACTTACGTCAGTCATAGTCTTAAGGCAAAAGGGAGGAACATGCAGAATTACTCCAGTGTGAAACTCAAATTATTATCTTTGATTTGGGCTAGTTCCCAAAAGTTCAGAGACATTCTACTTGGTACAGAGTTTGAAGTGTTTACAGACAACAGCCCACTCAGCTACCTTCAATCGTGCACCAGCTTGGAGCAACAAAGACCCAATGGGCCATTGAACTCGTTCAGTTTCAATTCCAAATCAAATACAGGTTAGGTAATATTAATGCAAATGCTGATACCCTTATTTGGAAGACTGACTGCAGGAGGGAATCCAGTTAGAGGAGGCTGTGACTGATGCTATAGCTGCGCTCCAAAATCAAATTTAGCATTCCGACCCTGAATCCTGTGAAAATCAGACGAAGATTCAGCAGAGGATCACCAATGCACTTCTGAATGAGATCCTAATCAGGTAGGCAGATAGACCCAGGTACGGTTTCATCCTTGCTATTGACCTCGAATGTGTACCTCAGGCAGCTTCACTGCTTGATGTGGGCATCAGTAGACAGTACAGCTTCTGAAAGACTCAACATTCACCAACTCCACACCAGCTGATGAAGGCATGAAACAGTTGAAATGCTTGAAGAGGATCAGGGAAGAGGATGGAACACGCTATAATCTATTTCATGTTGATGAGAGAAGAGTGAAGCAATTCATCCTTCCCAACAGCCTGAAGTGCTAAGTGTTGGTAACATTTCATGATCAAGTAAAACATGAAACAAGGCAAAAGATGACTACCCTGACCAGTGAGCAGTGTTACTGGTCTAAGATGACTGCTGATATTGATGACTACTGCCTAAGTTATGAGAGATATACTTTGGCTAAACAGAGAAGTGTCTTCATGCCAGCGTGAAATCTTCAGTGGCCAAGTGACCTCTGGGGTGAAGGTCCATAAAATCCATTGCAAATACCTCTAGAGGGTATGACTGAGCATTTTCTTGTACCCACAGACATCATCATCATGTTCACACAAGCCATTTCCTGAAGGTTTTTCGGTTTTAGTGTTCCATGTTTGATTCACAGTGATCAGGTTTATAACTGAAAGAGAAAGATCCTACAAGAGCTTTGCAAGATCTTTGTCATTCTCAGAAGCTGCTCCATCCCCTATCATTCAGACAGTAACAGACAGTGCTAACTATTCAGCTGTATTCTGTATGTTCGTGTGCACATCTTGCTTCCTGAGAGTAGACAAAGCAGCCTGAGTGCCTTCTGGAGCTGGTTTAAGTTTACAACTGGCTGAAGAAATCATTTGTCTGTCTCTCCCTCTATCTGTTCACAATCCAGGAACAAACTGTATTCAGCAAACCGGTTGCCCAATGTACACTTCAATTCCCCAACTTGGAGAAGACTCCATGGGGTGCAAATGCAGCTTCCTGAACTAAAAGGAGTACAAGAAAAGTGTTGTATCACATGGCAGGAGTATTTGGGGCCCTGAATGATGGGAACACCTTCAGATTATCTTTACTCCATTTATAATATTTATAAGGTACTTGAGAAAGATCCTGGAAGTGATATTATATTGCCATTAGTAACTTTCATAATGCTTAATAAAAATCTAAAGTTGTAGTCCAGTGAACACCCTCCATAAAACCAGTTCCCATTTTCTGTCAAATTGTGTTTTGGTATTGAACTATGCTTTGACTTCACATATTTTCTTTGGTGCACGAGTTGGGCATCATTCAGAATCTGTTCTACATTTTAACTGTGTTGGTCAACCTGTGGTTTCAGTAGATGTGTACAATTGATTCTTGAAGTAGCTCAAAGAGGAAGAGGTTATTCAAATATGCAGTCAAGTGGATAACCGAGGACTACAACAGGACACAGACAAGCTAGTGAAACAGGCAGAAATGTGGCTAATGAAATTTAATGTAAATAAGTGTAAATTATTATCACTTTTAAGGAAAAATAAGGAAAGTCAATATAAACTAAATGGTCCACTTTTAAAGGAGGTACGTGAAGAGATCTACCTGCTGGTCCACAGGCATAAAATCTTTGAAGGTTGCAATCAAGTTGGTAAGGCCATTAAAAGCATATGGGACCCTGTGCTTTATAAACTATGATGTGTCCAATTTTGGAGTTCACATCAGGAGGGACTTGGAAACAATGCAAAGGAGATTTACTAGAATACTGCCAGAAATGAAGGGCTTCAATAGCAAAACAGATTGCAGAAGCAATCTTCTTGAAGCAGAGAACTTTAATAGGAAATTTAATAGAACAACTCAAAATTATGAGGAATGAATAAAAATGTTTCCACTGACAGAAAAGCTGGTAAACAGAAGACAAAGATTTAGCATTAAACCATGGAGAGGATGAGTTTTTTTTTGTCGTGAGTTGTTATTGACTAAAATACACTCCTGAAAAGATGGTGAAGCATTCACCATAGCAACTTTAGTATATATATTGGAAGGGAAAAAATTGCAGGATTTTAAGAAAGGATGTGTGGGACTAATTGTCTAGCTCTTCCAACAAGAACGCAATAAGCCAAATGACCTCTTTTTGTGTTGTGTGACTCTGTGAAATAAAGTTTATAAATTCTATGAATTTTCTTGAGATATCTAACACCTAGACTGTATTGACCTAATCTGTTTAAGCTAAAATCAAAAGAGCAGATAGCTCCAGATTTATGGGTTGCGCACTGCATGATGTTAAAATAGAATATTAATTGAATTTCTTGGATCTTGTTTTAAATTATTTGTTTTTTTCAATAATACTGTGACTTTTTCTGTTTTGTTTTGAGAATGAGGAACCAGTGTTCTCCAAGGATGGCAGCAAGTTTTTTATGACTGTGCCTGTAAAACAAGGTGGTCGTGGAGAATTCCATCATATTGCTATGTTCACTCTTCAGGTGAGATGCTGTGATTCATTGTTATTTTGTTTATTCGGAGGCGAGAACATGATATAGCTCATATGACTATAGCTGGCATTTCTTTTTGTTTCTCAAATCAACATCATCTTTATTAATTAACTTTCAGACATATTACAGCCTTGTAATACCAATTATTTCATAACTGTTAACTGTTCTGAGTTTTGATGGGTATTATTTTAGTTTGAAAGATGAAACATAACAGCTTCTGCTCAACACAACAAAATCCCATAGTTGACCAGTTGTTTGATTATAGGCAAATCATTCACAAAACTGATTTAATTTTCAGTAACAGTTTTATTTAAGAATTTACTGCAATGCTGAATCTTAGATGAGTGCAACATAAATATAAATGGAGTGGAAATTTATCTCACTCAGTGGTTCAAAATGGGCAGTATCACATTGATTGCATGTTTTATGTATTTTCTAATATTTGGCTTTATTGTAGTAATTGGAATGAAATGTCAAGCATTACATACAGCTGATGGCTAATTCAGTACTAACATTTTGCGCTACCATTGGAGATAAATTTGATTCCAATGATTCACCATGTAACAGAAAATCCAATCATGAGCTCCCTTACTTAACGTATATGGACTTTTTAAAATAAATAAAACCACTGAATGATCAATGTTTATCAATTTCAATAACATTGATCCATTTTAAGATTAATTCAAATTTACCATTAGAAAAATTGATCCTGGGCTGAGTCTGTTATACAAGAAAGATAGCTTGGGATTTTAAAATCACTGACTTCAAAAGTCATTGGAACAAGTATTAAAGCTCAACAGACCAATAGATTTGCAGAATGTGGAGGAAGGAGGAAATGGGACTGAGTGTTAAATTCCTTGTATTGCCTTCCTGCCATCTTCCTGCTTGCCCCCAACCACTCCTCAATTTTATGGAGGAGGATGATGGATCTAGGGAGACAGAGACAGGCAGTCAATTTTCAAAAAATAAAAACAGAAAACACTGGAGAAATCCAGTGGGTCTGGCAGCAAACGTCGAGAGATAATGTCCTAGAGAAGAGCCATATCAGACACAAAATGTTAACTTTGTTCCTCTATCCACAAATACTACCAGGCTTGCTGAGTTTTTCCAGCGCCTACTGTTTATTTATTTCAGACTTCCAACATTTTTGTGGCAATATTCCACAATGATTAATTTTAAGTTCAGTCAACAATTGGGGGCAGGAAGTGCCAAAGGTCATCCTGCTTGTACTTTGGACAGGAAATGAAGAGGTTGCCTCCCTAATTGGCCCCCTTCCCCTAAAATCTTTACCCAGCCCCAGCCTTTCTAACATGAATCCCATTCCTCCCTCTACATTCCTCCTTCCATTCCAGCCATGAGATAGCCCACACTTGCTTCCATCTTGGCCTTGGAACTCAGACTCTATGGAGTTCAGAGCTGCTGGCTAATTAGATGCACAGTCAGCTTGATAAGGTGGGACTTCATTTCCTTGGAGCATTAATTTGCTGGGGGTGGGGTGAGTGCGGAGGGTGCAGCTAGTCTGCCGATTGCCAGGGCCAGAATCTCCAACAAGCATTAAATTCTGCCTGATATCTTTTCAACACCACACTCTTTGTGTTGTAGTGAAAGATGAATGTAAACTTGTCATTGCCCATTTGCTCATGACAATATTACGATAAAAGTAACTCAAACCTCTCTCTCCCGAAAAGGTCAAAACTGATCTGTCTGAATAGTGTAAATGTTGGGTGTGAGCCACTTATATGAACAAGAATGGACAGCCCCACTCCAGTTTTTAAATAATTTCAGTCAGCCTTTCAGAGAATGACTCTGGAACAGGTGGGACTTGAACCTGGGTCTCCTGACTGAGAGGCATTGGCAGTTCACTGTATCACAAGAGCTCCAAGTCTAGTCTTCATACACATTAACATGAAATCCCTTTAAACGTCTGTTATTTGTAATGTATGGTTGATTGGTTTTATTGTCACATGTACCGAGATACAGTGAAAAACCTTGTTTACAAGTGGTACAGGCAGATCACAGCAAGCAAAGGATGTACAGATCAAAAAGTCTCAGAGGCATACAGATTACATTGCAGTTTACATTGTCTGAGGTTGAGTCCATTCAACAGACAGATAACAGCCGGAAGGAAGCTATTCCTGAACCTCTTTGTGCATGTGTTCAGGCTTCTGTATCTTCTGCCTAACTGTTGAGGTTATAGGAGGTCATTACCAGGGTACGATGGGTCTTTAATGATGTTGGCTGCCTTTCTGCAGCAGCTAGCCTGTTAATAGAGTCTGTGGATGGAAGGTTGACTTCCGTGATGGTCTGGGCTGTGCACACAACCTTCTGTAGTTTCTTATGGTCCTGGGCACAACAGTCGCCACACCAGACCATTATGCACCCAGACATATTGTTTTCAATAGTGCATCAGTAGAAGTTGGCAAAAGACATTATGTACATGCCAAATTTCCTAAGCTACCTGAGGAAGAAGAGGCGTTGTTGTGCCTTCTTGACTGTCGCATCTGCATGGGAAATCCAGGACAGGTCGTCAGTTATTGTCTCTCCGAGGAACTTGATGCTCTTCGCCCTCTCAACAGTTCCATTGATGTAGTGGGGACATGTTCTCCTCCCTCCTTTTTGATGTCAATGATCAGTTCTTTAGTTTTGACAGCATTGATAAACGGATTGTTTTCATTGCACCACGTCACCAAGCTCTCTATTTTCCTTCTTATTTTGACTGATCGTTGTTAGATATCCGTTCCACTGTGGTGGTGTCATCAGCAAACTTGTAGCTGGTGTTCGTTCAGAATTTGGCAACACAGTCATAGGTGTACAGGGAATATGGTAGGGGCCTGAGGACGCATCCTTGGGGGGCTCCAGTGTTGAGTGTTATTGTGGAGGAGGTACAGTTACCTATCCTCACTAATTGTGGCGTATGGGTCAGAAAGCTGAAGATCCAGTGGCAGAAGGCCGAGCATGACCAAGGTCAAGTTTTGAGATCAGTCTGGAGGGGATAATGTTGTTGAAAGCGGAGCTGTAGTCAATGAACAGGAGTCTTTTTTATCCTGTATTCATTCACAGGATGAGGGTGTCTCTGGCTAGGCAGCATTTATTGCCCATCCCTAATTTCCCAGAGGGCAGTTAAGAGTCAACCCTATTGCTGTGGTTCTGGAGTCACATGTAGGCCAGACCAGGTAAGGATGGCAGTTTCATTCTCTAAATGACATTAGTGAACCAAATTGGTTTTCCGACAATCAGCAATGGATTCATGGTCGTCATTAAATTCTTAATTCCAGATATTTATTGAGTTTAAATTCTACCATATGCCATGGCAGGATTCGAACCTGAGTCCCTGGGATGTTGTCTGGTCTCTGGATTAACAGTCCAGTGATAATATCACTAGGCCATCACCTCCCCTTGTGCCTTCTTGACTGTCACATCTACATGAGTAGTCCAGGACAGATCATCGGTTATCGTCACTCTGAGGAACTTAATGCTGACATAGGTGTCATCGTTGTCCAGATGTTCCAGGGATGAGTGCAAGGTTAGGGATATGGCAACCTCTGTGGATCTGTTATGCCAGTAGGCAAACTGTAGGGGATCAAGGCAGGTTGGGAAACTGGAGTTGATGTGGGCCATGACCAGCCTCTTGAAGCAATTTATGATTATTGAAGTCAGAGCTATTGGCCAGTTGTCATTAAGGCATAGTGCATGTGTTTTCTTGGGTACGGGGATGATGGTGGTCTTCTTGAATCAGTTGAGGACTTTGTCTTGTAGGAGGGAATTTATTTATATATAAATTATGTAGATGAAAATGTGGGGATAGTCTGATTAGTAAGTTATCAGAAGACATGAAAACTGATCGAGTTGCGGATAGTGAGAAAGGTTGTCAAAGAATGTAACATGATATAGATCATTTGGAAAGATGAGCAGAGAAATGGTGATGCATTTTGGCAGGTCTAATGCAAAAGGAAAGTTTACAGCAATTGGCAGGACTCTTAGGAGCATTGATATACAGAGGGATATTAGGATCCAAGTCTGTTGCTCCCTGAAAGTGGCAACACAATTGGGATGAGGTGGTAAAGAAGGCATACAGCAAGCTTTCCATCAGCAGCCACGGCAATGCGTGTAAACATCGGTAAGTCGTGCTGCAGCTCTATGAAACTTTAGGTAAGCCACATTTGTAGTATTGTGTGCAGTTCTGGTAGCTACACTGTAGAGAGGATGCAAAAGAGGTTTACCAGGATGTTACCTGGATTGGAATGTATTAACTACAAGGAGAGGTTGGACAAACTTGGATTGTTTTCACTAGAGCAGCAGAGGCTGCGGGTGACCTAATAGATGGGTGGACAATCAGAGTGTTCTCCCAGGGTGGAACCATCAAGTACTAGAAGATGTTTTAGGTGAGAGTGGGAAAGTTTAAAGGAGATGTGTGAGGTATTTTTTTTTATACAGAGGGTGGTAGGTGCCTGAAACACACTGCTGGGGAGGTGGTCGAAGCAGATACTAGGATAATATTTATGATGCAGTTAGACAGCCACATGAAGAGGCAATGAATAGAGGGATATGGACCATGTGTAGACAGGTGGGATCAGTTTAAATTGGCATCATGGTCGGCGCAGACATGGTGGCTGAAGGGTCAATTCCTGTGCTATTCTGTTCTATGCTCTATATGATGTTAGTTATTAGTAAACTGACAATTTCACTTGCAGCCCATAGGGTAACAGGTTTTGAAGCTGGAAAATATGTCACATTAACGCAGTATATGTTTTGTGTTTAAAGATTGCCTGAAAACATACGATTGTGGCATGGGAGGAGAGTTTCCAAAAGCTGAATCTCCTGGGCAGGTGTTGCTTAGCTAGTAATATATTGGCAGTGTTTTTAAAGTCGACTTTGTGCTGTTTTTGAGATTGTAAGAACTGCCAATGCTGGAGTCAGAGATAACACAGTGTGGAGCTGGAGGAACGCAGCAGGACAGGCAGCATCAGAGGAGCAGGAAAGTTGTTGTTTCG